GGGGGGGGGGGGGGGGGGGCTGGGGGGTGACGCGACGGGAGATTTTCACTGCCTGAAATATCTCTGCAAGCAGTTACTTAGTCGTAGAGGCTATCAACACAACGGACCATCGAGAGACGATGGTGTCCAAGGCCTTGGTGTTGGGAGCATGCTTCGCGGGTAATGGTAATAAAAGATGGGCAGCGTGCCTCTCAACCAACGAGCAACAGCAGCAGTCACACGATTCGGAGGAAGCATTGACTCTTTGAGGTTGGGTGCTCACCTCTGCCCTCTCTTTGGACCTGGTGAGCTCCATGCACTTCTCCATCGTGAACCCCGGCACCTAGTCCGTTGGGTTTCCGGGTTGCAGGCGCGACAACATCAAAAGAGCAGCAGCAAAGGAAAGAGAGTTGTCGGCAATACGTCGTGGAATAGGTAAAATACCAATGTGCTTGGTGGTACTGCTTTTTTTTTTGGTCTCCATGCATGAGACAGGCGCCCGAGGTCCGTCAGGTTGTGATGCCGCTTCCTGTCTGTTCAAGGGAAACCACACACCCCGCACCGCTGCTTCCCGGAGCGATTCGGTAGTGCGTCATGGCTGGTAACAGCAAGCCACGACCCCAACAACCAGGTTCCGAAGTCACGACAACGACCAAGAGAGGTCTCGGCTGCAGGCGGAACAACAACACGGGGCGGGCAACGCCGCCTCTCCGCAAAACCACCGGGAGATCAACACCAAACAAATTGGATACCAGTGTGTATTTTTCTTAGATATTGAAAGATGGTTCTATGATCTACCAACAGCTGTTGATGTGTGTATCTCTCAACTAAGTTTGGGGCCAAGTAGGAAAACTACAAGGTTATGAGGGATGTTTTTTAGCTGTTGTAAAAGTAAAAAGTGCACCACTACCCGGCGAAAGTACTCAATTTTTTCCCATGGGCGGCCGGCCACTCACGTGCATCAGCTGAGCAATGAACGAGGCAAGGTCGGCCGAAGGCGCGGGGCTCGCCGCCGGGGCGGCCTCCTCCCCCCCCCCGCCTCCACGCGCGTCCGTCGTCTTTGCGCTCTTCCTCGACCCTCCTCCTCCCTGCTTCCGTGCGGTCGAAAAACGGTTTCAATTGAAGCCAGAACCATCCTTCAGCACAGGGTACTTGAACGTTGCCAGGTGTACGTGCTCTGTCTAACGGGCTCCTGCTGATTTCACCGTTGTAGGCATATATGGCATGAAAGCAATATCGGTACGCCTCCGTAGCCTAATCACGCGTTACCTTTCTAAACCCCCCACTCCTCCCTCCCTTCTTCCCACCCCCGCTGCTTCCACCGCTCGGCTCCCCTGCTTGCCCCTAACTCACCTCCCCCGCTTCCGCCTGGCGTTTCTGGCCGCTACCACCGTCATCACCGTCGCCGCCACGAGGGCTCTTCGAGCTACCATCGCTGCCGCTCGCGCCGCCACTAACGCTGCCGCTGCCGCTGCCGCTGCCGCTGCCGCTGCCGCTGTTACCGCCCCTAGTCCCCGCGCGCGCCGAGCTCTGGATCTGCTGCGCGGCAACGGCGGCCGCCTTTCTCGACGACCGCCGCTGCATCTCGGCCGGTATCGCCGCCGCCGATTCCGGTGCGCCCTCGTCCCCGGCTGGCGTCGTGCCCCTCGAAGCCCGAGTCGCCCTTGCCGTGCCCGGAGCGGCGCCACTGCTGGGGTCGATCTCCTTCTTTCCTCCGTTCTCTGATGACGCCTGCGGAACCACCGGCTGCGAGGTCCCGGTGCTGGGTTTGGCTGTGCCCTCGTTCTTGGTCTTGCCGGCGACGACGGCGGCACCCCCGTTTGCGTCGGCCACAACTCGGCTCTTGCAGCTGCTGCTGCTGCTGCTGCTGCTGCTGCTGCAGTCTGTGCTGCTTCCGTCGCTGCTGGCGGTGTTCGCGCTCTCCTCGCCGTTTGCCTTCTTACCGGGAGCGGAGGCGGTCGTAGTGGTGGCGCTTCCCGTGGAGCCCCCATCTACCCCCGTCCCCTTGCCTGCGAGCTTGTCGTCGCCTCCCGAAGAAACACCGCCTGCTTTCCCATCCGTACCCTCGCCGGACGCAGCCGGAACGCGGGCGGGGACGGCGGCCGGCGGTGGTGCTGAAACCCGAGCCGACGCCGCCGCCGCCGCCGCCACCGCCGCCTGTTGCGCTACAACGCTTCCCATCGCCGGTGCCGACGGCTGCAGCTGCGCCGGCGGCGGCGTCGACATCGGCGGCGCTCCTTCTCGGAGGGCTTCCATAATCGACACGGTTCGGTAGGCCTGGGCCTTCGACTGGGCGTGTTCCACCGCGGCGGCGTGGGCAGCCATCCTCGCCGCCGCCGCCACCTCCGCCTGCTGCGCGGGGGTCAGGAATTGCGGCGGGGGCGCCTCGGCCGCCGCCGCCGCCGCAGCCGCCGCTGCCGCCTTGCTCTCCCCATCGGCAGTCTTGTCTGACGCCGTCGCCGCCGCCGCCGCCGCCGCTGATGATGAGGAGGAGGTGGCGATCTTCTTGAGCTTTTCTTTGGCTGACGTGAGCACCGCCTCTGCCGCTAGCTTCTTCGCGACCGCCCTCGCTGCCTCTTTCGCCTGGTGCTGCCGCTGGTTCTCCTGGACCTAGCGGGGACCCCAGAAAACAGGTGAGAGAACCGGGGAAGACGGAGAAGGAAAATGTCTCCCGGTTAAAATCAGGCAAACAAGAAGGGTTCGGGGGCTTGGGCGAGCGCGTCTTGCGCCTGTAGCGAAAAACTACAGGGTAGAGGAGGGCGGCGAAACAGGCGCTAGGGTGCACAAGGATAAGGTGATCGCGTCGTTGCAACGTGCAACGGGATAGAAGACGCCACAACGACGCAAGAGACACCGCCTCGCTTTTTGATGGTGCTTCGCCGAGAGAACAGTGCTGAAGAGCGCCCGGGTTCTCCACACAAAAATACGAGTAAAAGGGAGTGTGCTACTACTGTACGGAGGCCATATCGCCTTTCTTTGTCGCGCGGAAATGAGTCGACCTTCAGAGAACGGCTTGCGGGTTTCAGAGAAAACGTGCAGCTTTTGATAACTCCAGAGGCCACGTCACTGCTGTCATCACCTCCACGGGCCAAGGTTATCATGCGCAGGTCTCTGCCATTCTCTCAAGATGGCCGCGCGAGGTTACCGGCGGTTGTCATTCTGTTCTACAAATCGCCCGCCGATAAAAAAACGGCGACCGGTGTATATGTACACATTCACCTGGAACAGCGCAAGGCACGTCGCCCGCCTCTGGGCCGCGGGGTCCATCACGACCGGGATCTCTCCGGGGGGGGACGCCACCCGCCCTACCACCGCTGCGGGGCCCCCATCCCACCCCGGGGCGCTCTTCTCGCCTTTTCCGCCGCCGCCGCCGCCGCCGCCGGCGGTAGCGGTAGGCCCGCTGCTAGTGGCGGCGGAGGCGGCGGCGGCGACGGCGTCTTCTATCCTGCCGCTCCTCGCCGGGGGAAAGGCCGGCTTGGGGGCGTGGGTTACGGTGGCGTGAGCCGCCATCGCCGCCGCCGCGGCCGCAGCCGCAGCCGTGTTGAACGGGACCACGGAGGACACTGTCGAGGCCGGGGGCACGGTTACCGCGGGCTGCTGCTCCTCCTGCTTCGGCTGCTGCTGCTGCTGCTGCGGCGGCGTAGCCTGCTGCTCCTGGGGGGGGGGCGCCGCCGCCGCCGTCTGCTGGGGGGGGGAGGGTGACGGAGTCGTCTCTTGCTGGGCGCTGCGGAAGAGGAGGATGGACCCGTGGGACAGGCCGGCCTCGGCGACCGTCTTGTCTCCGTTGAAGCGGCGGACTTCCTCCGGTGTGATCTGCTCGAACACCTGTCTCGGCGTTGTTCATCGCAAGAACGGGTCTAGCATGTGATTTTGGAGCGTTTGTGTGGGAGGGTTCCGAGCATAAAGCAACTCTAAAATTGTGTGGTTGTTGCTATTAAGTTCATTTTCCGGAGCGCTGAGAGAGCGGGGGGGGGCAGGGAAGATCATCGCGAGGGAGGGGCAGGAACGAGGGAGAGCAACCAACCGTGTTGACGAGTTGGAAAGAGAATATATGCTCCATGTGAGTCAGCCTCTAGACTACACGTGAAGATCTACACGTGAAGGTCTGTTTGTAGCAGCCGCTGCTGTGACTGTTGTAGGGAGGGCGGGGTGGTAGCTGAACGGATGGCAGAAAAAATATAACAGCGAAGGTGGAGGGGTAAGAATCCCCCTCCCCGCGAAGGCAATACCTCCTTATTCGAGGTCGAGCCCCCGACCCCCCGTCACACATTGCATACCGTACTACAGCAAGAGCGTGCGCAGGCCAACATGCAAAAATTCACCTCGAGGTTGAGTCCCTCCGGGAGGTGTGCGAGGCTCAACGCGATGGGCACCAGCTCGCAGCCCCGGTCCGTCCTGTGCGCCATCGCCTTCCCGACGAAGACGAACTCCGGCTCGTTGCTCCCGGAGACGACCGGCGGGTAGTGGATGGAGAGGGGCGGCTGGTCTTGCTTGGTAGCTGCGTGCGCCGCAAGAATCTTTCCGAGGAGAAAGAGAACGGGAGGGGGGGGGGGGGGGGGGGGGGGGC